ATCTTTAAAACATTTATCACTAACTCACAGCACCTGGTACTGAAGATTCAGCTGAAAGGCTGCCTAGACAAGTCGGTAATCTTCCAGGCAAGGAAAGCATAAAAAGTTTCCTGCTCCAGGCAGGTAGTAGAAGGTTAAGGATTTTTAGGAATGGTAGTAACTTACAAATGGGCTTCCCTGGTTCCAGTGGGAGTGGGAGGAGGAAATGAAGCCATTTTGGGATAGCAAAGGCACCTGTGAGACAGGATGCTGTGTTGGTGATGACTAGGAAGCTGCTTGATGTAAATGTCTGTAAAGCAGTGAAGAGGCCTGCGGTGAGAACAACCCAGGGGCCCAATAACCTCGCATGACTCCATTTTGTATCTCTTTAGTCCCAGCTTGTTCTCAGTTGTATGGAAACAACCAGAGCTGATAACCAAGTCTTTCAACTATAAATGTACCTCACAGCATAAAGAGAACTAAACATACAAGTGTTCAAATGCCTGTAAAAATAACATGTTACATTTCTCTTTGGTTAGGAGGCTCTATGTAATAGTTTAAAATGCTAGCTAGTCAAGTCACACTGACCTGTGTTTCAATCCTGGCTCCATTTTACTAGTTGTGTAACATTAGATGAGTTATATAATTTCTCTGGGTCTCAATGTTCTCATTTGTGCAGGGGCAATTATAGTAATATCTACCCAATAGGGTAATTATGGAAATTAAATGAGATAATGCATATAAAACACTCAGTACAATTCCCAGCACATAGCAAATACATATTATTTATTATTATTGAAGTCTTTGGGATGGATTGTGTTCTGGTTAGATAAATGGAGAAAGGATAATATAAATGTAGAGAAAGAGAAAGGGAAGAAGAGATATGGAAAAGAGAGGCAGGACTTTAAAAGCAGGTCCTGGAAGAGAGGCACTTAATGACTGTCAAAAAAAAAAAATCACGAGAGCAAAAAAGGATAAAGATGGCAAGGACTCAAAGGCAGAGGCTTAGCTTTGCTTCCTGCCAAGGTTTCATCCATCTGGCCTTGGCTTCTACACTGGTTTTTTTCTTCCAAATGGCAGCTCCAGAAGCCTAGTGGTGAAACTCAGGGCATGGAAATAGACCATCTCTCAGTCACCCTAAACTTCTGTACTCAGTGAAGGCATATAAGAAATGTACATATTATTCTTTTGCAATGTAGAATCCCTTTGAGTCTAATAGAAGAGACAAGCCTGTCAAGTGAGTCTGCAGTGACCACAGGCAGATATAATCCTATTACTTTTTGGCTGTCAGCTCATGCAGAGAAAAATTACTCTTTGATCCAGACAAAGGTAAATGTAGCTTAAATCCCAACACAAAATCCTGACACTCCAAATCAGCCTCTATTCCTAGTCTATAATGACCCTAGACACCAGATATATCAGAAACACCATCAAGACCTTTCTTACTGTTGGGTTGTAATAATTTAATCATCGCTGAAGGTAAAGTGCTCAAAGCAAAAGAAAAAAAAGAGAACAGAATGGTGTCTTTCTTAGATTTGTTTAATAACAGATATGGAAGTGGAGCATCTATTATAGATGAACATACAGAAAATGAACAGAAACCTGAATAAGTTATATCTAGGAAAATGAAACAAATGGTTAACCACAGGATTTTTTCTTTTACATGACGAATGGCTGGTCTGAATCTACTCCTCTGGCTTTTTGAATTCTAATTAACTATAAAACCAGGGCAAAACTGCAGTTCTAAGATGGTTTTTCAATATATCTCTTGTGATGTGCCTTTACAAACACAAGAATTTAAGAAATCAACTTAAAGCTTGGATCTAAATATAAAAATGTAGGACATGCTTAAGAGGAAGATCGAAGGGCAAATTTTACATTATAAAAATTAGCTTGGCCCTGAAAAATAACTTTTATAAAATTAAACAGATTGAAGTCACGTATCACGATGCACCCCATCTGTCCAGCGCATGTGCACGTGCATGCACACACACATAGTTAGGGAAGAGGAGAAATATGTTTATTTTACATTAAGTTGCGTCCCTAAGATGTTGTCTTGGAGCTCTGGGGCAGCTATGATTGGAATGTCTGCTTTTCTAATCTTCACTTAAGCAGACACTAGCTGGCCTGTGCAGAAGGTGACCTTCCAGATGTGGGAGCACCTGGGCCAGCTACCTTCTACCAAGCACAGAAACGCTCTCATTTCTGAATTCAGACATCTACCCTATACACAGTACTTTCCTTTAGCCTGCTCAAGGCTGATGCTTCTTTCATGGGTTCCTTAGTTGGTGTAAGGGACTCAGTAGCTTAGTCCTGCCACTGCCTCAGCTAGTCACACCCCTCATTTAACCATGAACTTGATGTGCAGCCCAGTGTGAGACCCAGGGAAAAGAGAGACCTCTGTTCTCAGTGGGAGAGAATATTTAAGCTTTGGCCTCTGCTTTGGGATTTGGGATTCAATTTTTCACTCTAATTGTATATGTATCAATATCCCAAAGGAATCTCTTAGACGCCATTTTGCTTTGAATTTGAAATGCTTTTGATGCTTTTTATTTAATAAGGCACAGGCATAGGACTTCATTCATTATTTAGACTAGAACTCATTTTGCTCTTGGTGTAAGAAAAATCGGGTATGCTTGTTCAGGGTAATTGCACAGAGTGAAATGAACCCAATTTATGTAAAGGATTATTGAAGGAATAAAAAACTTCCAAAGTAAGCCTGCTAAATCATTCATTGACATTTTGCCTAAATCTGGATCCTGTGCTTTACCAGCTTTTAAAGCAAAGCAAAGAAGGAATTATTTAAAAGTGATGGTGAAAAACAGTATTGAAAACGAGCAATCCCAGAGGGTGGATATATTTTCAGTGAGTATTCTCTCATAAATAATGTAATTCATAGACCATGGAGCTAGGCCCCGGGAATCATCTCAGTTTATGTTGTCACCTGGCACCTTCACTATCCCATCGTAAAAAGGCCTGAAAATGCAATGTAAATAATGTCCCCCTCCCTTTTTTTAAAAAAGATTTTAATTGGGAATTGGGGGGAGGGGAACAGCGTTGGGGAATTGGGGAAGGGGAACAGACAGGTAGACAAGTTGCTTTTTTTTGTTCTTCAGTCTAGTTGTGGAGGACGTCACTTCACTGGTCCATGTTGGTATGATCATTATGCTCTTCCTGGGTGAGGCAATCAGTCACCAGTCATTGGTCAGCCGCTCACAGCCACTCCTGGTAGCTCACACTGGCTACCAGCTGCTCACACTCGCTGCCAGTCACTCATGTAGCTCACAGCAGCCCACTGCAGCCCTGCTGCAGCCTATGCCATCGCTGGCGACTCATGGCAGCCCAGCTCCAGGTCGAACTGTTGTTCATCATCTTAGCTATAGAGGGCGAACTTCACTGGCCCTCAATGTGGGATCCAAACCGCAGCCCTGCTGCTCAGAGCTGGCGCTCCCAAGCGAGCTCTTAACCAGCTGAGCCACTCGGCCGGCCCTAATGTCTCCCATTTTTAAAGAATAATTATCTCTCTTATTTTTTTACAGATTGCTATTTTATTTTATGGTTTAAATTTTGCTATGCGCTAAATGGGTTCAATTAAGCTTAAAGTCTATTAATAATTCTGGGAATCTAGCTTCTTTGAAACTATTTCTTTTATATTTTCAGTAAGGTCTATA